TTTCTGTAGTTGCTTTTGGATTTTTGGTGTTAAGGTCAACATCATCCCCAAACCATTACCATCTCTTAAATTTCTAAATTTTTCCTGCTTAGGTCTACAAGCCCTCAGTAAACCTTTTTTTTTTTTTTTTTTTTGCGGTACACGGGCCTCTCACTGTTGTGGCCTCTCCCGTTGTGGAGCACAGGCTCCAGACGCACAGGCTCAGCGGCCATGGCTCACGCACCTAGCCGCTCCGCGGCATGTGGGATCTTCGCAGACCTGGGCACGAACCCGTGTCCCCTGCATTGGCAGGCAGTCTCCCAATCACTGCGCCAACAGGGAAGCCCAGTACACTTTTTGTATGTTGTATGAGATAGGATTCTTAACTTCCAGATGGATGCCATTTGTGCCAGCCAGTACTCTATGTTTAAAATCCTCCTTGCACAATTGAAATATCAGTTTTTATTGTTCCCTGATCTACTTGTTTCTTCCTGTGATTAATATAGTTTTACATTAAGTTTATCTGGTATGATGAGGCTACCACTGTTTCCCAAATATGTGGCGACAATTTCAAACACATGAACCTTAAAATTATGTCCAGTTACTGAAAAGTTCCTTTGAGATTTTGACTGTATATTATATACGTATATATAGAATGTTATGTACTAGCTCTGTATAGACTCATACTGTCTTCCCATCCAGAAGCATTTTTCTCCATCAAAGACTTGTTGCATGCCTTTCATTGCAATGTTAGAATTTAATTATGTAATTGCTGTATTTTTATTGTCAAGTTTATTGTTGAGTTTATGCTTTTTTTTGTCACTACTGTGAATAGGCCCTATTTCCCACTTTTTTTTTTTTTTTTTCCTGCGGTACGTGGGCCTCTCACCGCTGTGGCCTCTCTCGTCGCGGAGCACAGGCTCCGGACGCGCAGGCCCAGCGGCCATGGCCCACGGGTCCAGCTGCTCCGCGGCATGCGGGATCCTCCCGGACCGGGACATGAACCCGCGTCCCCCGCATCGGCAGGCAGACCCCCAACCACTGCGCCACCAGGGAAGCCCCCACTTCTATTTTTTATTGCTAGTTGTATTTTCGTTACCCAGTTGACATCGATGTTCTCACTTGATTTTAGTGCTTTTCTACGCCTTAAATCCCCAAATTTTAATTTTTCAACTGTATGATATATATATATATATATTTTTTTTTTTTTTAACGCAGAGGGACTGCCTTTTATTTATTTTTCCTGTGTTGGGTCTTTGTTTCTGTGCGAGGGCTTTCTCTAGTTGTGGCAAGCGGGGGCCACTCTTCATCACAGTGCACGGGCCTCTCACTATCGCGGCCTGTCTTGTTGCAGAGCACAGGCTCCAGACACGCAGGCTCAGTAGTTGTGGCTCATGGGCCTAGTTGCTCCGTGGCATGTGGGATCTTCCCACAACAGGGCTCGAACCCGTGTCCCCTGCATTAGCAGGCAGATTCTCAACCACTGCACCACCAGGGAAGCGCCAACTATATGATTTTTAAGTTATTGTTTTAGCGTCTCCAAAGCAACATTGATAATCGGTAGATCCCCGTCTTATTCCTGGATTGGACATCTCTTCAGTATTTTTACCATCTAATATTTATCTGTTAGTCTTAAAAAAAAAAACCAGAAAAACCCCAATGATATCATAAGCTGAAAGAGTAAATAAAATTCCCCAGCCTTGACTATTAAAAACTTACAGCAGGAAGAGAAATTTAAAATCTATTCATTTATTGAAAGCTAGCTAAATTAATCTGTAAAGTCACCTGGCCTGTTGCTGCTTATAATGGTAGCTTTCCATGGTTTTTTGGTGTTTTTTAGGAATTCACCACCACCACCACCTTAGAAAATCATCCATTCTGGATTTTCTAAATTATAGCTGTAGAGGTATGATATTATTCAATCTCTTTTGTATTATAACTTCTCATTCCTGATGTTGAATACTTGTGTTTTCTAATCAGGCTTGGCTAGGGGGTCTTTTACTGGTGTTTTGAAACAATGATACAAAGGTATCATTTCTACTACCTTTATTTTGTAGTTTTAGCTTCTATGTTAATTCTCACCATCTGCTTTTCCTTTGTTTTTTTTCTAGTTTAGGTTAAATATTTAATATAATTTTTGTAATAAAAGCCTTTGTATATACATTTTCCTCTGTGATAGCTGGTTTCTAAAGTTCTCTTTCATCAATATCTGGTTATTTTGTGATCCTTTTTGATCTGGAGATTATTTTACTGCTTATTTTCTAAGTAGTTTATTTTTGCTGTATTGGGTCTTCATTGCTGAGCGCGGGCTTTCTCTAGTTGTGGCCAGTGGGGGCTTCTCATTGCGGTGTCTTCTCGTTGCAGAGCACGGGCTCTAGGTGCACGGGCCTCAGTAGTTGCAGCACATGGGCTCAGTAGTTGTGGCACACGGGCTCAGTTTCTCCACGGCATGTGGGATCTTCCCGGACCAGGGATTGAACCCGTGTCCCCTGCATTGGCAGGCAGATTCTTAACCACTGCGCCACCAGGGAAGTCCCAGTTTATTTTTTTGTCAGACATCTATATGTTGGTAATTTTTTATTTCATTGGAAATAAGGTCTGTAAAAAGCCTTTTGAAACTTTTCTATGTGGATAAGTACTTCATTGACTTATGTAAATATTCCATGGATTTTATTTCCTAATAGGAAACAGTTTTAGTGATTTACGTAGGCAAATATTAAGGCTACAGAGAAAAAAAACTGTATGGCGGTCATATACACACGTGTGTGCAATTGTGTACATAAATTCCTATTTTTAAGAGCCATTTGAAAGTAAATCTCAGGTGTCAATATAATGTCCCCTTAAATACTTCCACCATGCATCTATGTCCTAAGAATTAAGACCCTTAATTTTGATTTCGACCATTTTTAAAATCTTTATTGAATTTGTTACAATATTGCTTCTGTTTTACGTTTTGGTTTTTTTGGCCATGAGGCATGTCATATCTTAGCTCCCTGACCAGGGATCGAACCTGCACCCACTGCATTGGAAGGCAAAGTCTTAACCACTGGGCCACCAGGAAAGTCCCCACAATCTTTCTATCACACTAAGAAAGTTAACAACTCCACATGTAATATACAGTACATAATCAAATTTCCACAATCATTCCAAAAATGTCTTAACATTTTTCGAATCCAGAGCTCCAAGTTTCATTTCTTTTTCTGTACAGAACAATTGCCCTGCTTTCTTTTCTTTCTTTTTCTTTCTTTCTTTCTTTCTTTATGGCTGCATTTGGTCTTTGTTGCTGCGCGTGGGCTTCTCCTTGCAGTGGCTTCTCTTGTTGCAGAGCATGGGCTGTAGGCATGCAGGCTTCGGTAGTTGTGGCACATGGACTCAGTTGTGGTTCACAGGCTCTAGAGCACAGGCTCAGTAGTTGTGGCGCACGGGTTTAGTTGCTCTGTGGCACGTGGGATCTTCCAGACCAGGGCTCAAACCCGTGTCCCCTGCCCTGCTTTTTAACATGAATTGTCTAGGCCATTTTTCTTGTAGAATGTCCTTCATTCCAGATTTGTTGTCTGATTGTTACTTCATAGTTAAGTTCAGGTTATGCATTTTGGCAAGAATATTGGTGATTTGCACAACTTATGCATCACTGGAGTCATGTATCAAATTGTTAAACACTACTGGTGATACCACATTTGATCATCTGGGTAAGGTGGTAACCACCAGATGAGTCTTGATGTAAAAGTGCTGTTCTCTTTTTAGTTTTAACGTTAACAATACTTGCTTTGAGTAGTCTTACCTCACTGGGAGTGGGATGATGGTAATTATCTAATTTATCATCCATTCTATATTATTGGACATTGATTCCGATGCATGCTCAGATTGAAGAACCACTGCATAGTCTTCATCCCAAATTTGGCCTGTGGACACCTGATAGGCAACTGCTTAAAAGGATGAGATTGATGTGAGATATTGGAAGACATCCCGATAAAAGCAGTTAAGTGCAAAAAGAATAGGGTCACTTTTTTGTAAAGAAAAAAGGAAGCAAAATGTTCTTCCAGGAATTTGGCGGTAGGAGTTGTGAACCGGACATTTTACATCCAACCGTGCCTTTGAATCTTTTACCAGGAGCTGCATTACTTTGATAATAGGAAGAAAGGGAAGAATTGTGTGAACAAGTATAACTCAGGGGCAACTCGCTATAGAAGGGAATGCTCGGCTCTGTTGCTCAGAGGCCCGAGCTGCTTGTGCTTGTGCAGCAAAGACTGTCCCTCTTACACGACTGACCATAGTGAAAAACTACAAACCAGTCAGGCATTTATGTCCTGCGTTGCCCGGTCACTGCTCAGCCAAGAAAGCTCAACTGTAATCTGCCGGATCATCAAACTGACACTTGGGGGCACCCAACTCTATTACGAGTTCGAATCTTACTGACAGCTGAATTTCAAACTGGAAGTCTGCACTGCCTCGTGGAGAGGAAGTGGGTATCTCTGAACTTGGGCCACTCTCTTCTCCGCCAAATGAGGGGCCTGGACTTAATGAGCTCAGAGCAAAAGTCTACCTAAACCTCCAATGTTTATCTCTGCCAGCCTGCCGGGCACAGCCATCTTCCAAGGCCGCGGATGGAAGGGGAGTGCTAAGGTGGGTCAGTAACGTCTATCCCAGCTCCAAGGCTGAAAGACCTGTGACGTCAGGGTTCTCCCCGCTAGGCCGCGGTGCCAGGAACCGGGGAGTGCCCCCGAACGGCTGCTGCATATAGCCCTTAGCCCAGCGATCGACAGAGCTGACGCTAAATCAGAGTGCTTCCAAATTTCACTAGTGATTTGTAATGGTTTTAACTAGTACCTGGGCCAGGCATGGTAAAACAAGGGACAGCAACCACCAGAGACGGGGGCGGAAAAGGCGGGGTCCTGCGGCGGAAGGGGCGGGGCGGGCGCGATGACCCTGCGGTCCCTTCCGGTGTCAATTTAGTGGCGGGAAAAGCGGCCTCGTCTAGGGCAGAGTGTGCCGGTCCTGAGTGGTAGCTTTTCGCGCCGGGGATGGAGACGCAGTCCGAGGAGCAAGCCGCTGCCGAGACCGCGGACTCCAGAGGGGAAGGCGAGCCGCCGCCGGTCGCCGGCGCCCAGGCGGCGCGTCCCGAGGACCGCATGACCCTGCTGCTCAGGTTGTTCCCTCTGGCCGGCTGGGCGGGAACCAAGTGGGCGTCGTGGCCAGGAGCTCCCCGCTTTGCTTAGAATGTCCAGGGTTCGAATTCAGCGTCGGTCGCTTAATGGCTGCGTGACTGCATCATTCACTTAAGCTTTTTAAGCCCCTTTCTTCATCTTGGCAAAGGAGAGAAAAAGGACAGCTTCCTAGCAGAGTTGCTGTGGGCGTTAAACGAGATATTCTGGAGTCAGCGTTTAGCAAAGGGCCCTCTTTAGAGCGTACGGAGCTGTAATTAACACCTCCTTTCTTACCCACTCATGCCTTGGGGCCCCGATTTTCAAGCCCTTTTGTGGGTTGCATCGAAGCCCTGATAACACCGGAGGGAGGTGGCTCCGCCCTTTTCTGTTATAGCTATGGCCCTTTTCAATGCAGAAGCTTTATTTGTTATATTTTCTACCAGGAAGCAACGTCTCTAGGTTGCTAGGGCAAGATTTGATGAGAAAGGACATCAGTCTTTTAGACCAGTGGGCAACTGTGGCCCTGGCCTTATCCATCCTACTCTGTTGTTGTGTGACCCCCTCAAGCTAAGAATAGTTTTCATGTGTTTAAATAGTTGGGGTGGGGGGGAGAAATCACAAGAATGTTTAATAACAGATGAAAATTATGTGAAATTAAATTTCAGACCCCTTAAGTAAAGTTTTATTGGAACACAACTTTCCTGCTTCAAGGGTTGAGTTGAGTAGTTACAGCAGATACTATATGATTCACAAAGCCTAAAATGTTTGCTATCTGGTCCTTTACAGAAAAAACTTTGCAGATATCTGTTCTAAATCAAAACAAGGTGATTTTAAAAAAAAAAAAAAGCTTTGTAAAAATATTTCGGCTTTACCACTGCTTTGAAAGGCCTTGCCTAATAATAAACCTCACAACCTCACTTTAAAAATTCCCTCCTACCAGTGCACAAGAGGTTCCCCCAAACATGGAATCTTGTAGCCCAGGTCTTACCTGAATCAGGATGAGGGAATTGTGGGTCCAGGTGGGGCTATTGGCCATGCCTCTGCCTGTGGCTTATCTGCACATTCTGCCTCCCCTCCCACCCCCACTTTCTCCTGCTCTTCACTCATGGAAAGTGTCAGGGAAATTTTTCACCTACAAGGGACTGCACGTCTCCTACTAGGATTCTGTGGGTATGGTTGGAAGTCTGGAGATAGTCATGCTTCTGTGTGGCTTTCCAACATCCAGTTATGATTGGTACAAGATTTAGGTAGGTCAGACCGTCCAGTTTCATTCAGTGATTGCCCTCGATTTATTTAGCGTTGGTATCAGTGACAACCTGAGATCACACTATTCCATATTTGAGCAGGCCAGCCTCATGGAGGCACTTTGGCAGCATCTGGGGCTCCAGAAGCTCAGGAACAACCTTTTTTCTGATGATTATATAGATAGATGTCTTTGCCCAGGAGCTGCTCTGCAGGTTCAAGCTGGTTTGATCTGGTCGACTTACTATGAAGAGTCTCTGTCAAACAGAGTTGTATTTCCCAAGACTCACCATCCTCTCCTTCAAAGGCTTCTCAAAGATGGAGGCATGCTTTCACCCATTCTCACATGATTCATGAACTTTTTTGTATTCTCTCAAGGTCTCACCCCAATCTTTGGGCCATATACCCGACCCTCTGACAGTGAGTTGTGGGACCTGTGGACAGGGATAGGCAACAGTGATGGGAACTTAGTTATCGACAGTCTTTTATAATATATCCATCAGAGGAAGAAGTTTAGAAGACACCGGGTCGGAGCTCTTGCCTTTAACTATTCCCATTCATATTATCTGTGAGTCTTTTTTTTTTTTTTTTTAATTTATTTTTTATTTTTGGTTGCATTGGGTCTTCGTTGCTGTGCATGGGCTTGCTCTAGTTGCAGCTACTCTTTGTTGTGGTGTGCGGGCTTCTTATTGTGGTGGCTTCTCTTGTTGCAGAGCACGGGCTCTAGGCACACAGGCTTCAGTAGTTGCGGCACACAGGTTCAGTAGTTGTGGCTCGCGAGCTCAGTAGTTGAGCTAGCTCGGTTGCTCCACAGCATGTGGGATCTTCCTGGACCAGGGCTCGAACCTGTGTCCCCTGCATTGGCAGGCGGATTCTTAACCACTGAACCACCAGGGAAGTCCTATCTGTGAGTCTTTGGATCTGGTCATTCCCTATCCAGAGTTCTTGGAGCCATACAGGAAAATGCTACTGCAGTCCATTGTCAATTCTGGATGGCCATATTATTAGCCACTGTCCACAGCTAGAATATCCCATGGCCTTCTTGAATGCATATATGGGCTTCATCGACTCCTGGAAAGAATAGCTTCCCTGTATTACCTTCCCCTATTCCCTTATTTGTTGTGTTTTCCACTTAGGAAGAAATGCCCCAAAGAGGTCCTGGCTACCAAACACTATTCTCTCACAAAGGTCCACCTGACTCGTTTTGATCTATTTCTTTGTGTAGCCCTTCTCTTTAAGCCTCATTTCAGTGTGGCCCATTAAGAATAAATTTAAAAATGGGCTTCCCTGGTGGCGCAGTGCTTGAGAGTCCGCCTGCCGATGCAGGAGACGCGGGGT